TTAATTGATCAGGATTTGTGCTTATTTCCTTCTGGTGGATTATCCGGGAAAGCTCTTATTTAGATAAAAGTGTGTGTTGAATGAAAAAGGGGCATGTCACAATAGAGATGTCTGGATTTGAAAGAAAGGCATAACAAATACAGCCAAAAAAACCCCAACCCCATCTAACTGGGGGAAGGGAACTCATAGCGAGATTTTTTTACAGGTATTAGCTCCTGTGGAATTTGATGCATACTATCTTTAAAAGTCTTGCCTTCTTTATCCCCAAATTCTGCTGTCGTGGCTTGATTATTTTACAGGTGCCGGATATGCAGATTGGGATGCCAGTTGTACTATCTGTATTTGCTGTATTTTATCCTCCATACTGCCAAAGGGCAATGATTTGCAGCCAAGTATGACAGTAAAATTTGATTCTGCCTGAAACACAGCTGAGAGGAAGGGAGCAATGATATGTGCTCTTGTTTATACAAGTAAGATAAGAAAAACTACTTTCATTTGACAGCATGCTGTATACTGATACCATTACGCTGGAAGAACGCAATCCCTGCAAGTACTTTCAAGTCAGAATTTCAGACACACAGCTTGGTAATACAAACAGAAGCAACAGCAAAATGTTTTATTATTTGGTCTGGCACTCCTTCTCGTGCTACCAATATTGCGGTCTCGGTTGGGCAACCATAAGTCTAGTTCACAAAGATCACCTCAAACTGTCTCCTGCACACAGCAGCTCTAAGTAGACTTTTTTGCATGCTGGTGCCTTGGATAAGAAACTGAATGGAGGAGAATGAAGATGAGTGACAGGAAGAAAAAAGGAAAAGAAAAACAGTGACAAAGAGCAGGCATATATAGGAACTGAAGAGAGGAACGATAAAAGGCAGTGAAGTATTAAGTCTATGGCAGGACATAGTTTCCACAGCATTATATTGTACTGGGAGATGACAATATGTTAAAGTGGATTAGCCTTAATTGTAATTAACAGAAAGCATTTGAGAAAATTACTTGGTGTCATTATACCCTTCCCTGCTTAGGGCTGGCAACTCAGCCCCTTCTGTAATTTCTTGCATCTGAACTCATGTCTGAAGCCAAAGACCTCTCCCTGGGGAGGCACTTTGTGCTCACTGGATCCACACTGAGAACTCTCTATTTTCCTTCTCCCTAAGCAGAAGGAAAGCTCCCAGTTATATTTGCCTTCTTATCCCTGGTGTCATGAACCAAAGGTGTTTGGCATCATGGTCGGATTTAGACACAGACTAACACACTTCATGCCCTCAATCCATACAGAGCTTGAACCGTTACTCAATGAGGTACGACTGGACTCGGGAGTCACAGCCTCATTGACCAGCACCAACAGAGCAGAAGAAAAGCCATGATGAATCCGTGAGAGGTGCCCAGCCAAGACCATCCTCTCCCACATTATGATGGTGACCAGAGTGGAAATGCAAGGGCTCACCAACTGCTCGAGATGTCGGCAAGAATTAGCAGCTTGCCTTGCTACAGCCTCTGTAAGGAAAGAAGGAGATGCTGCAGTCTCCCTGGATGTTTTGCAAAGATGGGAGAGGACCGGCAGCCCCAGGGGCAGGTGCAGTGCCCGTCCTGGCTGGCTGGTGATTACTCTGCGTGGGCAGCGGGGCTGGTGCCCAGGGCTGTGCTGGGCCTTGGTGTGTGCTCCCATCTGGTTTCTTTTCTCTTGGGTTTCCCCTGAAAGGGATGGGTCTGACCGAACTGGTGCCTGCAACGAGCAAATACCAAGCCCCTAAGTCTCCCCTCCCTGACAGTGTCTGCCACCACCCATGCGAATGTCACTGCCCTCCAGCCCCATAACTGTGGGTTGCTACTCACAGATAACGTGCTCGCCTGGGGAGGCAGCCTGGTGGCCCCCATGCCTCACCCCAGATTCTCCGCAACAGCACATGAATAGATTAATACTCTTGCAGCCCTCTCACAAGTTTTGGAGGTAACTGTTCCCCTCCTCCCTCTGATTTTAACTGTAATCATTGTGACTAAGTTGGTACTGTAACTTGGATAGTGTTAGCAATAAAATTACTATATGGAATCAGGAGATAAACTTTGAAGTGTGAGCAGGCTGAATTTGCCAACTCTTGACCCTTTAGGCCTCCATAAATTGGCTCACTAGTACCACGCATTTTGTAATTGCTGTAAAACACATTCAGGAAGGTTTTTAGTCTGTGCTTATTATGACACATTGTAATGCTGCTTTGACACCATGATCACACCATATTATATATTAGATACATAACTAATGATTATGCAAAAGAAGGCTATTCATGACTTTTAGTCAATTCTTGATTAGTAAGGTGGCTGTGTTATGCATAATAACAGACCAGATATTTATCCTGAGCAGTCTTTGTCCAATACATGCACAACCCTAATCTAAATTCCAAGAAAGACCATCCATAACAGCAAATGGGAAATTAACACCAGAAGTTAATGGCTATTGAAAATTTTGCCTTCTATTGGAGCTTAGATCATATTTTAAAATGGAATCGAAAAGAAGGACATCCTGGCAAAATATGATAACAAATTATTTAAAAAGCCCCAAATCCAACACCACCTGTAAAGTGAAGGAACATTTGTTAGGGGAACCCTTGCACAGCATTTGAAACCACAAATACCAAGATTTATTCACAGAATCACAAAGGTTGGAAGGGAACTCAGGAGATCATCTAGTCCAACCCCCATGCTAAAGCAGGTTCTCCTAGAGCATGTTACACAGGACTTCGTCCAGGCAGGCTTTGAATATCTCCAGAGGAGGAGACTCCACAACTCCCCTGGGCAGCCTGTTCCAGTGCTCTGTCACCCTCAGAAGTTTTTCCTCATACTCAACTGAAACCTCTTATGTTTCAGTTTGTGCCCATTGCCCCTTGTCCTGTCGCTGGATAGCACTGCAAAGAGTCTGGCTCCATCCTCGTGACTTCTACCCTTCCTTCTGATATTACTGAAAGGTGAGAATTCCCACACAGAAAATGAAAGAATTGACTGGAGGAAGATCTGGAGGGTGTTGCAGAAGCATTTGCAGAATCTCTGTGAAAGAATATGCCTAGAAAGCATCTGAAGTTGTTCACTCTCAACTTTTTTGTGAACTTTCTCAGTGCTGTGTTAAACTAGCTGTTATGACCGGGGGCAACATATTTTAATTAGCTGTGTTTTTTGTTATGTCATATATTCAGTGTATTTGAAAGATGATGGATTGCAACTCAGGAGCAGGAGATCCTCTCTCCATCCTCCTGTGAACAAAGTACAAACCTGCTCTCCTGCCAATGCCAAAGCCTTACAAGCACCCACAGCAGTCAATTCCTAGCAGCATTTTTCACTTTGATACAGAAACACCATACATAAATGTTGCTTCAGGAAAGTAACTGAAATTGGAAGGAAAAAGTAAATGGCTTGTTTCAGTGGGAGATCTCACCATAGTAGAACAGAGAAGCAGAATAAAGTTTCCATTTTAAGGTGTTAATTTGGAGCAAACAGAAAGAAGGCAGCAGGGAAAAAAATGCTATCCACAACTACTATGTGGCAAATGCTACAAAATCCGAATACTGAAAATTTCAGGGGAATAAAACCATACATAAAGAATGCCACTACTGCCCCCTTGACTGACCACTTGCGTAACACCACCCAAAAAAAGTCTAACCCACAATTCCTGTGCAGAGCCTATGACTCTGTCTCAGGGTTAAAATATATTCCAGTGATGGAAAATCCATCTCATGTTCAGGTAAGCTGTTCTGAAGGTTAGGCACCCTGTTAAAGCCTTTTCCTGTACCTTTAGTGAGAATTTCCTTGTCACGAATTTCCTTAGCTTCCATGCTACGAGGGATTTCATAGTGGGTTTTTTTTTTTCTAGATTAAGGAAGGATCAGCTAACAGAAATCTTTTCACTATTTAAGCTGTGCTCACCCCCTAACCTTTTTTTTTTTCTTTTTCGGGAGGGAGGGGATAAACTGAATAGCTTAAGTCCTAAGCTGCTTAAGAGTTTTTAAGCCTCTTACGGTAGGGGATGTTTTTCTAAAAACTGAACTCTTTTGCAGCTTTTTTCTGAGTAACCTCCAAATTTTCACATACTTTCTGAAATACAGATGGTAAAACCAGACACAATGTTCCACTGACTGCTTTCCTTATACTTTTTACAGAGGAAACAGGACTATCTGGTCCCTACAATCTTGCAGTAGACTAATTGCCCTGCATCTCCAAGGACTTAATTTTTAACTCTCAGCTAATGGGGCGAACCCTTACACTGGGTTCTTGTCTTTAGTCACTTCTTGCAACTCTCACTCACTTGGGCCTGGACAATTAGAAAGAACTTTGGGCCAAGCACAGATAAATTATGCAGGAACACAAGAACACCCACACTCCGACACCCTCTCCCCCAAAAGACAACCAATAAATTCAAGAGCATCCTGAAAGAAGAATTTGGCCCTCTTTTCTGCTGAGTGCCAGAGAGCCCAGCGCTAGGATCCTGGGAAGCTAGCTAGCTCTCTCACTTGGTAAAACAACCATGGTTACACTACCATCAGGATCATGATGCTGTCAATACAGTGTTTCAGATCGGCAGTTTAAAGAATTAATCCTTTACGAGTTTTTTTGTTGGTGGATTGAAGATTCGCTGTATTGACAGAAGGCGTTGTCACAGTGTGTGACACAGAATGCTATAAAATACCACATGTAGAATAGTATGATACATTTTTGAGCAAGCATTGAATAAACATCATTGTTAAATGAAGGCACAACCTCCACGGGATAATCCTTCTCCTGTAACAGTTAGCAAACCAAAGCATGCAAAAAATGGAGAGATGCTAAAGGGGAAAGAACAAGAGAAGCAATTGTTGGCAAAAACACAAAAAAAAGATTAAAACCTCATATATCAAAACATTTGTAGGCTGTTTCTTTACAAGAGCTAATGATTATATGAGACAATGAGTTTCGAGCAGTCCGTTAACCAACACTGAACACAAGGCCATGGAGACATATTAGTCCCTACTTACACATTCAGAGGTTGCCAGGCAGGCCACTGTGCTTTTGCCTTGATGACTGTTAAAACCTCATCGCTCTGTGAAAAGACACAAAACAAGAAAGTGATCGGGACAATTTTACAATGAGAGTAATATGATTTACAGCAAGAAGCAACAGGTACTAGACTGAACTGTGCCTCCAAATTCTGACTATGAGAAATATGTCTTGTCCATTTTGTTATCTGAGCACCTCGTGTCCTCAGCTGCCCTGGGTGCATCCAGGAGCCGATATGAACACAGGAAGCAGGAGCAGCAAGCACAGGCTATCGGACTTGGGGCACAGCCTCTTTCCCCTCTGCAGGAACTGCAGCAAGCTGAAAACACCAGCAGCAGTTCACAGCCCACATTATTTTTGCATCATGAGCTGAAGGGAAAGCTTTCAGCAGCGGTGCACTGTGATGGCAAGTATAAATAAGGAGAAGACCTTTTCATTGGGGAAATCCCCCAAACCAATATGACCAAACTGAGTTTGCTCTGGTAACACTATCACAGGAAGATAAATGTGCTGTATCCTGGGCTGTTAGTCCACATGTAGTAGCTTATTAGCAAAAGGTGTATCTTGAGCTGTTGATTTTGTGACTCTCTGACAATCCTTGTGACCAGAGGAACTTACCAGGTTAAAGCAGGCAAAGACAGAAAAATTGCACTTAACGTGTTACAGATCCATGGGCCAAGAGCCAGGCAAAAGCTAGAGGTTGCTGCTCTAGGCAATCTAGCACACCCTGTGAGCATGTATGATATATTATTTATTATCCTCATATATGTAAGGATGTAAAGAATCCATGGCAGATGCACTGCAATCTCCTCCAAGTAAAGCCATTGATAACACTTTCTCTTTGCTTTCCATTTATTCATTTAAAAATTTCAGGGTGAAATATAGCGCCCACCTGTGGAAGCCCACAGTGTGGCAAAGCACTGCACAAAGATTACTTCCTAAAGTCTGTAGGAATTCCTGCCTCAGCAGTTCTAAACTTTATATTGGTACAATAAACCCAGGACAAAGGCAAGAGACCATTACAAGGCTCTGATGCCCAAAAGACATCTATCACACTTTTTTAGAATCATTTTCCCCATCTCCCTTAGGAATCCACCCTAGTAATTTGCCTAGAGGAACACAAAGTTCACAACTCACTCACATGATTTCTACTGTCTTTTAAAAATATTTCCCAATTAGCCTAAGAAACCCACCTCATACATTACCAGTAATTGACACTTCCAACAGAGCTGACCTTTCAGTTTAGTGATAATAGTGCAATTTCTGCAGTAGTTCTGATACCCCAGACTGGCTCTAGTCCATATACACCCCTGCTTAAAGAAAACAATATTCACAAGTGTTTCTACCACTCTCACTATTTTCTGACTCCCTCTTTTACCAAAGCTGGTAATTGCAGCGCTGACGGGCCCTCTCTGTAACATACAAGGTTTTCAGTCTCAGGAATACATTACGTGACATGACCTCTCCCTCAACCCGAGTGGACGGATAAGCCATTTCTTGAAATCTTGAAAATCCTTTTTAAAAATACAGGCCAAACCCTATACTACATTAAATGTCCTGAGCTAATATAACTGTAAATCTGACTGTATAAATGCAAGTAAGTATAAAAAGATTTAATCGAACTCCTGTACTACTAATATAGTTTGAATAAAGAGAATTTTAGGATGAAAGGGAGCAATCAGACAGCACACATAGCTCTCTATGCCAGCAGGCGAGTTCCCCAGGGCAGGCCCTCGGTGAGTGGCAGCAGGCTGAGCTGCCCACACCACCCTCTCCCAGCCTCCCTGCCCAGCCGGGTGGCACCGAGCGGAGTTATGCTCCATGCAGGAGAGACCCATCACATCCAGGTTCACCTACGGCAACCTTCTTCTTACCTCCATGCCTTCAAAGCAATTTAAAAGGAAACTAAATAAGTGAAGTTAAAAATCTGAAGTTAAAAGGCATTACTTGTCTTTATCTGTCAATGGAATTTGCCTTAATATTTAATTTTCTTGCTTCAACATCCTAAGACTCTCCAGCCAGGCACATCTTCATTTGAGATATATGAACATATGATACGAACATAATGGTATTTGAGAACATATTTGCATTCAAAATTATGAACTGCGTGTTGTAAATCCCAAAGAAAGTCTGTTATGAGCACAGACGGTTACGTTTATTAAAATAATACACTGCTTATCTAATAGCAGCCAATAATTATGTCAGTAAAATCCAAATCACTTGTGTCTGAAAGCATTTTAACATGTGCTATTCAAATTAAAAATGCATACCAAGAGTGGAGGAACCACGATTAATAGTTTATTAGTAAGTGCAGAGGGAAGGAAATAAGGAACATGGTGCATTCAGACATCCCTGAATTTTTAAGGGAGGTGAAAATTCAGATGCAAGAGCTGAATTTATGGCCACTTCCCAAACAATAACCAAAACCAAAAGATGCAGAATCCAGCGTTCTGATGAGCCTGGAACGAAAGCACGCATTTTTGATAACTAGAGCTCCTTGACAATTACACAGGATTAAGCAGCAACTTGAATTAAATCATTGTGATTCCAGACTGATAGTCTAATTATGCAGTTGCCTCTATCATGCAGATTTATATTTTGTTTTAATTAAAAAATGTAACACCTAGACTGTTATTAATGCCAGTGTATATTTACTTCTACACACATTGACAGACAGAAAAATACCTGAGTAGGTATTTGGTACTTCCTTGGACAAGTGTTTATGTCAAGAAGGTGAAATCCTGGAAAACAATACAGTAAATTCCGTTTGCCGCCTCCGTGGGTCTGTGAGGCTGTTGCTGTGTGAGGCCTCACCGCCGGGCTTTGCGCCAGCCTGGGGAACCCAGCTCCCCTTGTGATGCCACCAGCCTGCATCTCCCCAGCCTCCTGCAGGGACCTGGCTCAGGGAGTTACTCCCGAAAAGCAGCCACCTTCCTCTGCCTCCAGCCTCTCCAGCTGACCTCCGTGTTTTTAAGGGAATGTGATAAACTTAAACAGCCCACGCAAACAGATGCTATCAACCACACAACTTCACAGTCAAATCTATAGATAGAGAGCAATATATAGAAAAGACACAGCGGCTAGATTTTCTGGCCAATCTTTTTAGCTATAATTTACTGGCAGATGGTAGAAACTGAGAGGATATGAAATGCCGGAAGAGAAACCCACAAATTAATAATATACAACCAGTTGATATAACCTAACTGCCTCGAATAACCCAACTGTGCAGACTTTACAGTAGAGGCATAAAACACCACATATTTTTTATGAATTTTGGTTAACATTTTCTTAGGACTTTCTGTATTACATTTGTACCCAATTTCTCTCTCCTCTTCATATTCCCAAAATTTTGCTTTGATTTTTGAAGTAAACAAACACTCAAATTCACATCAAAATATGGCAAGAAGAACTAAGATGTTTCACTGTTGTATGTTGCAAGTTGTGTTATCATTTATGCATTTGGCTGGGAAGCAATGATTCCCAAGTAATGAAACTTAGATTTTGAAAAAGAAAACTAGATCATTTACAAAATGATGGAGTGTCAAAATGTTACAATTGTTACTTGTCAGAACAAGTTAAAGGGAAGGGTACCAATGCTCTTGCTTGGAGCTGCTGAAAATCCTTCAGGTAAAGTCCTATACATACCTCTTCCAGCAATAAAAGGAAAAAGAAAAAGGCAAGGAAACTGTCAGGCCTATGTTATGCCTCTGTGTATGTGGAAGTTGCCAAGGAGCGAATTTGAGACTACCTGTCAGTTGCTACAGAAATATACAGGAGGAAAGTTGCTACCTTCCTTCCTTTTCACATTTAAGGGGGTTTCCTCCTTGAATACAAATCACAGAATTGATGCTTGGGAATTTGCAACTGAGTTTTTGCTCAGCTTTTTTTGGCCATATCAATATCATGGAATGGAGTACAGGTACGAAACTCTCCCGCGAGGGGAGTGAGGGGGGGCAGCGCGGTGCCGCACCGCCGTCAGCCCCGGCACACCGCAGGCGTGCGTGGGAAGCTCCTCATGGAAGCAATGTGCCCTGCTCCTCAGCATCTCATTTGCACCAGTGTGTCTATGCCTCCATTTGCTATGAGAACATGCTACCGTTGATGCAGCATCTCTGCTACTCCTATAAGTAGGAAGTCATGATTTAATAATTAAATTAGTATAAGCTCTCAGGAGTTTTCAAGGTAAATCCCTTTGAGAAGCATAGTTAGGCACAATCACTTACAAAGGTTGGTATAAAGTCTTTGTAGAATCTACTGAAGCTTCTTCAATTTCAGTTATTTAGTTCAATTACACTATTTTAGTTTCCAGTTGAAATTGAACCCTCTCCTACATGCTTAGAGCTTGCTCAAAAAGCCCAGTGGAGCCAGAGTAGTTTCTAGATTGACTTCAATATTTTTTGGATTGTGGCCTAAATTAAAGCATGCAAAAATAGCAAACAATTATCCTTATCTCCAGATCCTCTTTCTACATTTGTGCTTCAAGCTGAGGGTGGGTGGTTGACTCAATAGCTGTTCCCTATGAAAGTACTGTCCTCCAAAAAGTCCTCATATATGATTTTTAGAAGTTGATAATGTCATTCTAATACAGACAGCCCCACTGACATTCTGAAGTTGGTAAAAATTAATCATTTACTTTACATCCATTTGTTCCTGCAATGTACAAGTGAAGGCGCATGCAGAATAAAGTCATTAAATGGCAACAAATAGAACCCCGTGCTATGAAACCACTGCTAAATTAGATCATTCAGCTGTGCACTTTACAAAAGATTAAAAACATTTCCTCATCTTCAAGAGCTGAAAGTGGGACAGCTCAAAAAAGCAGCATTGAAGACAGAATTTGATTTGAAGTCTTTCTCAACTAAGGGGACTTAAAATAACTTGTTTAAAGGATAACATCCATTAAAATGTAATGAAAGCTTTCAGCAAAAGTTTTAAGTATCATCTGAATACCTTTGGAATAAAAGAGAGATTAGCAGGATCTGGGAAGCTACGTAAACTATTTCATGTGCTCCTGCTGATTTTTGGTAACTGATGTGATTGATA